AAACTTTGAAATTTTGACTAATTTCTTACATACATTTTTAAGAGATAGTTTCTTTCCTTTTAGGGGGGGGGAGGGTAAAGTCTGTTGCCTTTCTTTGTAATGATGCCATTAAGTCTCTTGGCCAGTGCATGATCATGTTAATTTCAACAAAAAATCCACAAGAGAAGAATTGTTATATTTCTACGTTCAAGACTTTCAGCCAAGTGATAAATCTAATGAACACAGTTTGGTTCAAAACTTAGTGCTCATTTAGGTACATTGTAAATCATATAGCGATACATACTTCTTATCACAGCAATTTCTAAAATGTTAGCCTCTTGGGATTCAGGACACAAACATCAATTTAAACTTCTAATAAAGTCTTATTGCACAATTTCTATATTAGAGTAAAACTGCATTTTTGAATTTCTACACATTAAAAAAAGTCTCTGAAAGGCTATGAAAAATAAAATCTTACAACACATACGTTATTATTATTATTATTATTAAAATAAATGTCTTAATAATATGCCATTTTTAATTGCAAATAGTTGTTCTAAGAAAGTACAAAACTTATATACAGGGTAATTCTAAATTATTTTTACAAATTAAGAGTGGTGATAGTACTCTTCTAGGTGAGCAATAATTACCATAGAACATAGGGTCACATTCCACCCTGAGAGGCAGAAATGAAGAATACAGTCAAAAATCTTTAATCCGGAATGATCTATAATCCGGACTGCAAAGCTACAAACTTTCTGCACATGCATAAACGCATAATACCTTTACGCATGCGCATAATATATTTACGCATGCGCATTTAATGTATAACGGAAGGTATAAGTTAAGCTAAAATTATCTAATTATCTATTGCAGTTAATGTTGCAGATTGCGTTGTTCCTTAATCTTCGAATTGGATCCGGCTTATTATTTTTTGCAGACTGTTAGAGCAATTTTATAAAAAGTAAGATTATGTCAAAAAGAGTTTCCAATTCTGGAGCTGCCAAAGGATCTACAAAGCGAAAGCATGTTTCGATGTCCATTGAACAAAAAAAGGGATTTCTGCAAAAAATGGATAAAGGCATGAATAAAGTGACAGAGAGGTGATTTGTTTCTCTAACCATTCTGAAATCTGTTTATCATTTTCACGCTGCACTATGGACGGGAAGGGAAGTCGCGACGCGCAATGAACTGGAAGTTGATCTGTCAGCACTATCCTCATCTTCAAGGCAGATGTTTTATTTTATTCGACTTATAATTCCTCACTAAATGTAGTGTTTCATCTCGATGTACTCTGATATAATTTAAGTCAATTTCCTCGTCATTATAAATATCACGAATACACGTCAAATAGTTTTCTGGTTGCAATTTTCTAATTTCGACTATACGTAATGTATGCTTTACACATGCACGCGTTGAAAGAAATGTTTAATAAAATAAACAAATAAATATGAAGTTTTTTTTTTTTTTTAAATTTTGATACCCTTTCGGTTATAATTGCTCTTTATTTCATAAATTATGGCTTCATATTTTTAATTTTATAATTTCTGCATGCCATCTTACCAGATTTAAACTGATGATCTATAATCCAGAATCACCGAAGTCCCGAGGAGTCCGGATTAAAGACTTTTGACTGTATTAGAATTCCAATCTGAACTTACAACAGTGTAGGGATAGCAAATGAACAAGACCAAATGCTGCACAATCAACTTAGTGACAAACTCAGAGAGTGCACAAGATGGATAAAACCAAAAACTTGCCATTCAAGTGTTAATTCGAGCTCAGACTTTGATGGCAAACAGTAAAATGCCCATCTTTGGTTTGCAAGGTCTGAACCTCGCAAACAATTGCAACAAGTTAATTATCTAATCAAGGGATGAATATTATCAACTAACTCCAACTTCAGCTGCATGCCCAGATTAGCATGAAAAGTTCATGCTGCGTTCCGGCTGTCAGAATTTTGTGTCCCATAGAAGAGCGATTCCAGTAGAATGAGCGAAGCACAGTAAGTCCAGGAGGACAGGATAGAAGATAGCTAAGAAGGACAAAACTGCTACCTTGATAGCAAGGTAGTTTCTCCCCCTAATAATTTAGATAATTAACTTGCTGTAATCATTTGCAAGGTTGAGACCTTGCCAACCACAGATGTGCATTTGAGTGCTTGCCATCAAAGTCTGAGCTCTAATTAACACTCAGTGTAGTTTTCAGTGTTATCCTATTTGTGCACTCTCTGAGTTTGTTCCTAAAGTGATTGTGTAACATTTAATCTCATTCATTCACTCTCCCCACATGTTTAAGTTCAAGTTGGAAATCTAATGTTCCTCTTTTCTGCCTCTCAGAGTGGAATGTAACCCTATGTTCTATGGTAATTATTACTCATCTGGATGAGTACTATCACCCCTCTTAATTTGTAAAAACAATTTAGAAGCACCCTGTATAAGAATTAGGCTCTAAGTTTTTATTTTAAATGAAAGAATTAACAGATATATGCAAATTGTTTAATAATCAAAATAACAGTTTCAATGCGTAAATATGAAGCCTTTTTCTTAAAAAATACTTTACATCATTATACATACAACAGTAAGAGGAAGAAAATTCAGAAATTATTATTGAAATCAACTGCACCAAACACAGTTTAAAAACATACTTAGTTAAAGAATAATCATAAATTGAAAGAACTGCACAGTTTTGAGAGCAATTAAATTTAAACAGAGCAGGGAAAAAAAAACTTGCATTAGGCTTCTCATTCGTTAATAAACCTGATAACAAGAGAAGCAGCATGGCAAACATACAGAAAATGAAGCAAGATACTAATACTGTAAATTTCATTTTTAGGTATCCCTGCTTAATTGATTGAAGTCTATCTAACAGAAATTTCTGCATTTGATTTACTGAAATAAACTCTAGATTCTAATTGTGAACTTCGAAAACTTTGTTATGGTGAATTAGAAGCAGTCTGAACAGCGATGGGTCTTTTTACAGTCGATTCATTTGCTTTCATTCAAATGCTTTTCATAGGGGATTTCTTAATATTTACACAAAGCAGGAGAAAAAAATTATCAAACAAATGACACCTGAGAAAATTTTTAATGCCAAAACTATGACTGTATAATAATTATTGAGTCACTGTTCTTCCCTAGCACTGTATAGATAAACTATACAACTATATGAAGTTTAAACCTTGCAATGAAAACATTTCTGTTCAGCAAGTTGGTAACTAATGCTAGAAATTTCTCAAATTTATGGAAATTAAATATTTGTTGCTGATTTTCATTTATATTTTACTACTTTATGCTTAAAACAAAACTTAAAATATTGAAAATAAAGGTACAATAATAAAACACTCAACAAAAGCTATATTTATAAGTAATACACACAATGATGCAGATCCTTTTTATAAGCCAGAATAATACTTTTTATGCTTTGATAATCTTTTTACCATTTCCAGTATTTTAAAAAATTACTACCTCCTTTTTCGCATACATATAGTATTTTAGAGCAAACTGAGCATATTTGCGAATTTTTCAATAAAATTTCGCAAAATATAACAGAAGCCAATTTTATGTTTTTGGCAAAAACATCATTTAATTACATGTATAGAGAAGCAATCACTGGCAAAGAAATGCTTGAATATCCTTTTCCAAGATAAGGTATAAAGCAGAATGATAAAAGCATGCAGACAATAATAGAAAAGCAAACACACAAAATTACAAACACAGCTGCAAGCTAGGAAAGGAAACGCAGCAATGAAGGGTTATTTCTTTCTCCTTAGCATTTAATCCTAACCATGCAATATGAAAAATTCAAGATTGTGCATTCCGTGAGAGAATAAGTGCTAAGTAAAGAAGCACTTCATCCGCAATGCAAAAACTTTGCAGAATTACCTCTCATTAACTAATTTATCATGTTTTGGATCACGGGGTCTTCTTTTCATGATATCGGACTCTGCATGCTCATATGCGAGAGATATGGCCGGTACCTGTGACAAGTAAGAAGGAAGAATGACACAGTTAGGAGCACAGAGAACAGAATAACAGAAACAGTCATGCATAGAAAGTAAGAAAATGAAAATTCAAAGAATAAGAAAAGTTTTACACAGCACAGCATGATCGACTGACTGCATGCATTAAACACAGTATTAAGAGCACAGAATAAAACCAACATTTTTATTTAGAAGCCATTCAGAAAAGGGATTTTAAACAATATTGAGTATTTATAACACAATTCACACTTATGTATAAATATTTAACAATTTTAAATACTAACAATAATCACGTTCCATTCTTTATTGTTTATACTTTGGAAAGAAATTAAACTTCCAGTAAGTAACTTTTAATACTCTTGAAAAGGAAAACAATTAACATTTATAAACCTGGAAACAGTAAGAAAGACTGTTAATAATGCTAGAGAGAATAAACCCACAAACAGAAGTTCTCTCTAACAACCGCTTTCTTAAACATAATATGGTAAAATTTTCATGCTTCTAAGAAAGAAAAATGAGGATGATCAACTCACTGATATCCAACTTTTTTTTCATTTTAACAAGTTAATAATCTAAAATTTATATGCTTATTTTTTCATAAAGGATTTAGATATAAAGAGCAGTTACTTAAATGCAGGAAAATATTTAATTAACCCAAAATTATATGCACAGAAATAGAATAAATCAAACCCTCAAAGCAGGTCATCAAAAACATAACATTTCATCAAGCATACAGAAACAAAAGTTTTCGCTCTCAAGAATAAATATCAAATTAGTTAAAAGTAGTGAGATATTAAACCAAAAATAAAAAAATATATATCATACACAGAAATGGTATTGCAATTTTTGGAAAGGGAAGTATATAAAGCGCAAAATTTCCTTAACAGCTTGAAGTATAAAAAGAACAATCCAGTTTTTGCACTTCCAGTTTTTGTTTTTCTACTTCAGAATGATGTACATTACACACACATTCTCTTATGTATATGTACACACACATAACACATAATGGTAGAATATGCAGAGATTAATTTTAACCTACCATGTCTGTTCCCAAATCAATGCAAAGAATAGTAACTGTACCGAGGGGTAGAGGTATATCAGCCAGAATAAACAACAGAAATGGAGATATTTCAGGAATATTACTTGTTAAAGTATAGGCAATAGATTTCTTTAAGTTATCAAATATCAGTCGTCCTAAAAAATAAAGCAAGAATTAAGGGGCTGATTATAATTTATTTAACACTTATTTCGAAACTTTTGGCATAAAAAATGAACTGACACTTTATAAACGTTATTTAACTAACCTTCTTCAACACCAGTTACAATGGATGCAAAATTGTCATCTAGCAGAATCATATCGGCAGCTTGTTTGCTCACATCACTACCAGCAATACCCATAGCAACACCTAATATAAAATTCATACATATGCATTATTAAATAATAATAAATTAGTGATAAAATTTTTGTGAAAAAAAATGTGTCAAAACAGCAGAAAAATACCTGGCATTCTATAAACATGGGTTCTTAACCAGAAGGGAAATTTGCAGTTTCAGGGAGGAATGTGACCAGTCTTATTTCGCTGAGAATTTAACCCTTTCAGGACAGGCATCCCATATACGTATTCCCTAAGAAGGTCTCTTACAGCCGGGCGTCCCCTCCGTGCATCACTCGAGATTGCATTCAGAGGATGGGTGATGTATATACGCATTTTAAGCTGAAACGTTTTTCTGAAGACCACTAGATGGCATCCTATGTCCATTACTTTTGAAATGAACACAGTTTTAGGTTCCTGACCTTGAATTTTATATATTCTGCCCGACTTTGGTATTTTACTCAACTGTTGTGAGGGTGGGGGAAGGGGATTCTCCTGGGAAAGCGTAAACCTGAGAGGTGGGCTCTTTAAATCCCACATGCTAGTATAAACATTCGCGTGTCTGATTTATATCCAATTCCTTTTTTTATTCTATTTTTTTCTCTTCCATGCACAGTATTTTAGGGTTACTATGTGGAGTTCTGTTACGTTTTGCATTGCGTTCAGACATATTTCTGTTTCTTCTCTTATTTCGGAAATTCTCACCTCCACATTCAGTCTATTATGATGGGAAGGCGCTTATTTATCGGAGGAAGAATATTCTCATATGGTTAATAAACCATTTACTAACACAGATGAGAGTGATGATTCATTTTCTAAAGAGTTAGAAAGTGATACTTCTCTGTGCTTCAAGATTTACCACACTCAGTCTTCATTTTAAATTTTGTTACTTCTTACTGTAAATAGTCTTTATTGTAATTGTTTTATTAATTTTAAACTTTATTGATGGATTTTATCAACTAAAACTTTGGAATAATTTGAATGGCGCTTTCCAAAATTATTTTACAAGATTAGGAATTTTTTAAGTATATTTTCATGTAAAATAAAGAAAAAAGTTATTAAGTGCTAATTTTAACATATATAAGAGCTGAAGTAATAATCTAAAATGCTACCAAAAATTACGATGCTAGAAGTGAAACTTCCCCCCCCTTTTTTTTATAAAATTAGGCTTAGCAATGCAAAACCTCTATCAAAAGTGTAGCTAGGGTTTTCAGTGCCCGGGGACAACTGAAGATTTTGCGCCCCTTTCTCTGTGCCAAGAACAGAAAAATTTCATTCTAAAAGTTCGTAACATCAATTTGGCGCCCCCTGAATTCTGCGCCCGGGGACAGATGTCCCCCCCTTGCCTCACCCTAGCTACGCCACTGACCTCTATCCTGTATGGTGATTGCCTTCGATTCCCTTCCGTCCTGCACGAGTGTCTTAAACAAAGGTGCGCCGCCGTGAAAGGGTTATTTTTAGTTTATGAATGTAAAAAACTACTTTTATTCACATTTTTAATATTTATTAACATTTTCTATTCTTTTTGTTGCTTAATTAATAAATCATTTAAATTAATGCGTATGTATTTTTTGAAAGATGGGAGGGAGATAAATGTTCTAGCAATGTAAAGAAGTGCATAGGAAAAAAGTTGAGAACCACTGCTTTTAAAAGAAATTCTAAACTTCGCAAGTTCAAAATGCATCTGAAAAGACACTCTCCTTTGATTATTTGTAAAATAAGGAAATTTATAATTTCTTCCACAACAGTAAAAAGCAAAATTTACCACATGAACATGGCATTTTAATTTACACATTCCCCCATTACTTTTTTTGAAGTAAATTATATAAGAAAGTTTTCAAACTTCCAAATGCTAAATATTTCTGAAATAATTATACAGTTACATATTACATACATAGGATAGCTGAGTACTGAATGAATAAGAATAACTACACAGCATTCTCATTTTCAGTTTTACAAAAAAAGAAATCTCATCAAAAGCAAACTAAGGACAACTTCATTTTCTTCGATAAAGGACACATTATCATTTGAATGTGTGTGTGTGTGTGTGTGTGATTATGGCAAAGCCTCGAGGGCTATCTGCCTAAGGGGAGGGATGCCTTCGTGGAGGACTTTCTAAGGGAAGCTGGCTCGTATACACGTTACACATGGGGAAAACCACGAAAACGCCCATGCAGCCAGCCCGTTCGCGGGATTCGAACCTCGGACCGAACTACCAGTGTTCAGCGACTTTACCGCTCGGCCGCTGGTGGGCACACATTATCATTTGAAACAATTTCTAAAATATTCAGTAACATTTGCATTTTAATAATTTGCTGTAAACAGAAACTTATGAATTAGATAATTAATATATTATTTTCTTGATAAAAATAGATAATTAAAATAGCAATATTTATTCTATTCAATTAACAGAAGCTTGACCCGGTGTAACAACCTGCTGGGTACTTCATACCCGAGACCATTTCCATTAATTTAAGCATCATAAATTTTAAAAAAAGTTTTATTATAAATTAAATAGAAAACAAAGAAATAACCTTTTTTTATATTTATAAATATTACTTTAGTTTATAAAATTTTCACAGATGGTGTATTGATGTTCCATACAAATGTTTCTTCTTTTTATATTTTACGCAAATAAATAAATCACATCTTTCTGTCTTTTAGAACACAGTGCACATCTTTTGCTAAGTGCTTCACTTATTTTGATATTAAATTTGTTTCCACTTCTTAAATACCTTGTTTGGTTTCACCTTTTACTGTGTTCTTCTAAAAGGTTCAATCTGAGCATTTTCAGAAACAAAGATAATTTCTTCCTCTATTTTGCATGTGTTCTTGGTCTAATGGTTAGCATACTTGTCACATATTCAAGAGGTCCATGTTCGAGTCCCCACGAGGGCATTGTTACATATATGTGGCAACACACTAGTTGCTGGTCAAACTGAAGTGAAGTAATTTTCAGTTGATGTTGGTCTAGAATAAACAATGTGCTATGTGAGAGTGTTGTAATGTCACTTATTTATAGATCAAGTAACATATAATATGATTATAACATGACATAGTCGTGTGGAGTAGTATTACAACTAATTGCCCGGCAATGCCTTTGGTTGTTTTTCCTCTCAGCAGATGCAAGATGGAGCTTTTGTCGCCCACCGCAAGGCCTAAGTTTCGAACGGCAATGTGACCAAAAACTGGCGCAGATTCAAGCAGCTGTTCCAGATTTATATGAAAGCTTCAGGAAATGCTTCAAAAGATTCAGATGTGAAAGTTGCTTTATTTTTAAATGCTGCTGGTGAAGAAGCAGTTGAAGTGTTCAACACGCTCAATCTTTCAATAGGAGATCAGGGTAACTATGAAAAAGTGCTTGAGAGGTTTGAAGCTTTCACAACGCCTAGAACAAATGTTGGTGGTGGAGAGATTTTTATTCAATAAGAGAAAACAAGAAGAGGGGAACTTTTTGATTGTTTCATGACTTGACCTGAAAAAACTTGTAAAATCTTGCAAACTTGGGTGAGCAGAGTGACTCTGTCATACGTGATCGCATTGTCCTTGGAGTATCAGATGCCAGTTTACAGGAGAGGATGCTGCGAGAAAATAATCTGAGTTTGAGAAAAGCAATTGAATTAGGAAAGCAGCTGAATTGAGCAAAGCTCGTGCTCAAACGTTAAGAAACACAATGTTGACAGCGTAACTAGAGGGAAAAGTGAAGCAACATCTGGACAGGAGGAGCCAATGCAGCCTTAGCAGTGAGGAAGCACAGAGGATGGCGTGATGACCCTTCAAATACTTGAGACATCTTTATGTAAAAATGCAACAGACATCACGTTAATGGACAGTGTCCGGCATATGGAAAAAAATGCTTTAATTGTGGCAAACTAAATCACTTTTCGACTATGTGCAGACTGAAGCACATCCAAAATGTTTCTCAGCATGATAAACAGATAACGCGATATATATAGGGAATCTGATGATGAATTCTTCGTGAATTCCATAAATGATTCAAAGAACTAAAAGTGTGTGCTCAACATCAGACTACAAAAGAGTGGACTAAAACTATAATTGTTGAAGGGACAACTGTGACTTTTAAGTAGGACACAGGGTCTGAAGTGAATGTTTTGCCTGTGAAAACTTAAGAAACACTGAAATGCTAAGAACTCTTAATCTTATTTTAAACAAGTATAATGTTGTATTAGAAGCATTTGGGGAGTCCAAGGTTAAGCCTGATGGGCCGTTTAATGTTACAATGTTCCTCAGGTGGTGTGGATCATACTCTAGAGCAGGGATGTCAACTCATAGGACACTTGGGCCAAAAACAAGGTTTAACTTTAGGCGGGTCGCAAAAAAAAAAAAAAAAAAAAAAAATATTCATGAAACGTAGATTATTTCAAATAATACAATAATAAACATATATATATATTTTATAGAAAGAACAAAATTTTAATGTTTACGTCCTGATACTTGACATCTCTTCTCTGCTATTATCTTTCCTATTTCGGGAGAATTTGTTTGCATGATAACTTTCAACGCTGCCCCAAGGTGGCATCATTAATATGGTTTCTAATAGGAGACTTATTACCTTTCATGACCAAAATAACTGCTTGCACCGATAAGTGCTACCAAACATGGAAATAATTTCATATGTGATTTTCGAGTATTTTCAAACCTGGCTGGTAAATTTTTGTAAAATTCAGGCACGCCCACTTCAATGAATTTGCTTTCAAATTTGAGTTGCATTGAATTTCGATCACCTCCATTTTCATATGGCTGAGTCATACTTATTGAGAAAATCGAAGAAAACAAAAAAAATTGTCTTCGAGGGAACTAAATCATAACACCCTCGTTCAAATTCAGTTGTTAAATTTGCAATTTTTTTCTGCGTATTTTGATACTTGATCTGTTCATGCGGCACGTCGGAAATGCGTCAAATCTTTATTTTTAAGTTGTTTTTCCCAAGAACTAGTTGACATTTAAATGCTTTAATTATGTCAAACATGTTCGTTGACATGATCTTTTCCTTGTAAGGATAAATTTAAATCGGTTAAGTGT